CGACGCAGGGGTCTGGGAGGGAGCGTTACTTTCTGGTGGTCGTCGACGACTTCTCCAGGTACACCACAGTGTTTCCTCTTGCGAAGAAGTCCGAGGTGACTGCTATGCTGATCAGGTGGCTTCTAGCCACTGAGGGCACTCGTGGTCGTCGAGTCAGTTGTCTTCACTCCGACCGTGGGGGCGAGTTTCGCTCCGGCATTCTCGGCGGATTCTGCGGTGAACAGGGCATCACCCAGTCCTGGACGCTGTCAGAGTCCCCACAGCAGAATGGGGTTGCTGAGCGCCGCATAGGCTTGGTCATGGACATCGCCCGCACGTCCATGATTCATGCCCGTGCGCCCCATTTTCTGTGGCCTCACGCGGTTCGCTACGCCGCACACCAGCTGAACCTCCAGCCGCGTGTCTCGCGGCCCGAGGCTTCACCGACCAGTCTCTGGACTGGATCCCCTGGTGTTGGGTCGGCCTTTCGAGTCTGGGGCTGCCTTGCACTTGTTCGCGACACCTCCGCGGACAAGCTCTCGGCACGCGCCGTCCCCTGTGTCTTCCTTGGTTTCCCAGTGGACTCTGCTGACTGGTCCTTTTACCACCCTCCCCTCCACCAGTTCCTAGATTCCCGTGACGTCCGGTTTGACGAGTCCGTGTCCTACTACACCCGGTACCCCTGTCGAGGTCTCCCGGTACCCCCTCCCCCTCTCTTCCTCGCACCCTCTCCTCCTCCTGCTCCCGCTCCTCCGGTACCCCCGCCCCCCCCTGGTCCTGCCCCGTCTGGTGTGTCCCACGCTACCCCTCTCCCCTCGGTCGCGCGCCAGGTAGCGTCTCCCTCCCCGCAGTCCTCCTCACAGTCCCCTCAGCAGCCTTCGGCACTTCCGCGATAGGTTACTGTAGACTCGGTTGGTGTTGGAGCTGGAGGTGCAGCCGCTGGCGGTGCTCGGTCTGGGGGTGCTCGGTCGCGGGGTACTGGAGCTGGAGGTGCTGGCGCAGGTGACGCTAGCTCTGGGGGTGCTGGAGCTGGAGGTGCTGGCGCAGGTGGCGCTAGCTCTGGGGGTGCTGGAGCTGGAGGTGCCGGCACTGGAGGTGCTGGTTCTGGGGGTGCTGGAGTTGGGGGTGCTGGCACTAGCGGTGCTAGTTCTGGGGGTGCTGGAGTTGGAGGTCCTGGCACTGGCGGTACTGGTTCTGGGGGTGCTGAGTCTGAGGAGACTGACGCTGGAGACCCTGGTTCTGCGGAGTCCACCCCGCCCCCCCACCGCCACGACACGCGTCTCCAGGCCGCCCGTCGGCGTGAGCGTGAGGAGCAGGAGCGGTTGGAGAGGGAGCGGCAGGAGCTGCGGGTGCTGGACCTTCTGGAGCAGCAGCGGCAGCAGCAGCAGCAGCAGCAGCAGCGGCAGCAGCAGCAGCAGCAGCAGCAGCAGCAGCAGCAGCAGCAGCAGCAGCAGCAGCAGCAGCAGCAGCAGCAGCAGCAGCCGCAGCCGCAGCCGCAGCCGCAGCCGCAGCAGCAGCGGCCGCAGCCGCCACCGCAGGTTCCTCTAGAGCGGCGGTTGTTCCCACCTGTGAGTGGCCTGCGGGCCCTTGGCCTTTCCTCCTCTCCTCCTGTCCGCTCCCAGTCTCCTCCTGTGTTTGTTCCTCCGTTGCCTCCTCCTGACGACCGTCCGGCGGTCTGGTCTTCTCCTCCTCCTCAGTCTCCTCCTCCCTCTGTCCGTCGCGACTTGATCACTCGTTGTCCTCCGCGTGCTCGTCACTCGTCCCCTGTCACTGACCTCCACACTGCCCTCCTTTGTTCGTCTCGTCGTCGTTCTCCTTCTCCTGTGTCCGTTCTCCCGTCTCCTCCTCCGTCCTCTCTACCTGCCCTCCCCACTCCTATCTCTGACTACTACCGCGCTGTTCGTCCTGTTGCCGCACGTGTCCTCACCACTCTTGTCACCGACCCTCGTTTCCCTCCGTCGTCTGTCTCGGCTCTCACTGCCGCTGTCGCTGAGTTTGCTGCCGCCAGCCGCCTTGACTACGCCACCCGTGTGGTGCCAGCTCCTCCCTACCGTCCTCTGTCCGTCGGGGGTGGGTTTGCCCTTGGTTGTGACGTCCTAGAGGACAGAGAGTCTGAGCTGGAGTACTGGGCAGCCGCTTCTCCCTCTGTGTGTGCCATGCTGCTCTCCCCTGAGGGAGACCCCGACGCCCTTGACATACCGACTCCTCGCACTTACCGCGAGGCAGTGTCAGGGGCGTGGGCCTCTCAGTGGAAAGCGGCTATGGACTCAGAGTTGGCGTCTTGGAGATCCACAGGCACCTACGTCGACGCAGTTCCCCCTCCCAGGGCGAACGTAGTCGATGGCATGTGGCTCTTCAAGGTGAAGCGGCCGCCTGGAGCACCGCCGGTGTTCAAGGCGCGCTACGTGGCTAGGGGTTTCAGTCAGCGTGAGGGAGTTGACTTCTTCCAGACCTTCGCCCCGACCCCGAAGATGACTACTCTTCGGGTGTTACTCCACATAGCAGCGCAGCGAGACTACGAGCTGCACTCCCTCGACTTCTCCACTGCGTTCCTCCAGGGCCGACTGCACGAGGAGATCTGGCTGCGCCGTCCTCCTGGCTTCACTGACACCTTCCCACCTGGGACCCAGTGGAGCCTGAGGCGACCAGTCTACGGTCTCCGCCAGTCGCCCCGTGAGTGGCACGACACTCTTCGCTCCACGCTTCGTGACCTTGGGTTCAGCCCGTCCTCCGCCGACCCGTCGCTGTTTGTTCGAGCGGGTTCTACTCCTTTCTTTATCCTTGTCTACGTCGACGACTTGGTGTTTGCTACAGCTGACAGGGCAGCCCTGGCTCAGGTGAAGTCCGAACTGCAGAAGAGACACAAGTGCACTGACCTGGGTGAGCTGCAGCGCTACCTTGGCCTGCAGATCACCCGGGACAGAGCCGCTCGCACCATCACACTGACGCAGTCACACATGGTGCAGCAGGTCCTTCGGCGGTTCGACTTCCAGTTCTCCACCACACAGCCCACTCCTCTTGCTGTTGACCACAGACTCACGGGCCCCTTTCCTGACGAGCCCTTTGAGTCCAGTGGACCCTACGCAGAGCTGGTGGGCTGCCTCATGTACCTGATGACGTGTACTCGACCGGACCTCGCCTTTCCACTCAGCATCCTTTCTCGCTTTGTTGCGACTGGGAGACATCGCCCTGTCCACTGGACAGCTGCTGTGAGGGTGGCGAAGTACCTGGCGACTACATCAGGCTTGGGGCTTGTGCTTGGAGGGACTCAGCCAGTGGCGTTGACTGGTCACTGCGACTCTTCCTACGCTGACGACGTGGAGACTCAGCGTTCGACTCAGGGTTACTGCTTCAGTCTGGGAGCTGGTGCTGTGTCGTGGAGGTCTACACGGTCGTCGTCTGTGGCTACTTCCAGTGCAGAGGCAGAGATCTACGCTGGTGCCATGGCGGCACAGGAGCTTCGCTGGTTGACCTTCTTGCTCGCTGACCTTGGTGAGCGGCCTCGCTCTGCACCGACCTTGTACGCTGACAACAAGGCCATGATCCTCCTGTGTCGAGAGCCTCGACTGGAGAGCAGAGTGAAGCATATTGACGTGAGGTACTTCCTCCTGCGAGAGCTGCAGCGACGCGGTCAGGCACGCCTGGACTTTGTGGCCTCAGAGGCCAACACTGCAGACGTCTTCACCAAGGCCTTGGCGCTTGGTGACCACCACATGTTCTGTGTGCAGGCCCTCGGTTGCTGTAGTCCTGTTGCTTGCTCTGCTTGTTGTGCTTTGTATTTATATCCTAGTGAACTCTTGAACTGGCCTTGTGGCCGCTTGCTTGCGCTCGGAATTTGTGTGGTGTCCTTGAGATCCACCCTGAGCTTGCCTTGGTTCTTGCTTTGACTGGTCTTGTGACCGTTTGTTCACCTTGCTTGCTTTGATGCCCCTCACTTAGCCTATGGGGGTGTGTCAAATGTTGAACATTGATATGATAGGCTATAGTGAGTTGCACTCTAGGGGGTACAGCTTCTAGGGTTGCTCATTTGTACCCCATTCGTTTCTATTCCAATCATTCCGTTGTTCGCTAACTTTGAGACGTACATCAAATGAAAGTATACATGACTCTTAAACCAGCTGATCACCCATCCACACACCCACACACACACACACACACACACACACACGCACACACACCCACACATACACACACACACACACACGCACACACATACACACTCAGACATGTGTGCACTCATTGCTCAACAGCCTCACTCTCCTCGACTTCTTGCCCCACAGCCGCACTCACCTCTTATTTTTGCCCCACAGCCGCTCTCACCTCTCATTTTTGCCCCACAGCCGCTCTCACCTCTCATTTTTGCCCCACAGCCGCTCTCACCTCTCATTTTTGCCCCACAGCCGCTCTCACCGCTCATTCTTGCCCCACAGTCGCACTCTCCTCTCCTGCACCCCCGCTGCAGCACTTGATCCTTCTGCATACTCTCGATCCAATCCAGTCAGCGGCAATTGAACCCGGGCAATGAATAAACCCCTTATCAGCCTGGGGTGTGCTTGTGTTATGTATGCCCTCATTCCTGTGAATTACCCAGTCAGTACTTGTCCAATTCACCAGTGAAATCCTTGATTGACATCTCATGAGTCAGTACCTAGTTGTCCAATCAAGGTTTTACAACCAGCCAGTGCGATACATCGATGTTGTTACAGTTGGATGCGCACACGAACAGAATGTGAGGGAAAAGTACGATGCCTGTCCTCCTCAGCTTCTGAGCAGGCGTGGGTGTGTGCCAATACCGGAAGGAGGTGTCTGCCAGACTGCTCACTAAAAGTCAATGCAGCGGGCAGGAACTTATTTTCAAACGGGGCACAGCCAGCACTTGTGCATTTCGTGCAATCCAATCAGGGGATAGAAATGCGCCTAGCCAGGAGGGTCGTGAGCATCTAATAAGAGGTAGTGGGGAGCTCGGTGAGACGTCTATTTCTTAAGCCCAGAGTCAAGAGGCGTCAATGTAACAGAACGGTCTACGAGGTGGTGGGGTCCCTGGAGAGCGGCTTGCACTTCTGCAGTTCTATAGCAACCTGGAGATGGGGGGAGAAGAGCACAAGACAGAGTTTCGCGTTAGTTGGTTTCAACACAAGTGTATCTGCATGAGGTGGTGGCGTCCCTGGTGACCTGGAGATGGGGGGAGCATACATGGCAGCAGCACAAACCACCTGCTTAGTACACCTGAGAATGCATTTAGTAATGCAATCGCGATCTGCTCGGATGCAGATGGGTGGAGGAGCGGGCGAATTGTGTGGTGGGTAGTGTGACGTGTGTGAGCAATGTGAGCACCGTGATACGAGGGCGATGTGGAAGCAGCAAAGAAGAGGGACGCACTGCAATGATTGGTACAGAGCAAAAGAATTGGCACCGTGTTACAAGTTGGGTTACACACTACATTCAGATGCCTTAAAAGAGAGACAGATGGAAAACGGATTGCTACAAAAACGAGACTCGCTACAATGCGGGAGGGGCTGTGACAACAGTTGGGACTAATGAGGGGTTGGGACAACAGTAAAAAAAATCATTTGAGTCGCGGCCATCACCTTGAGATTGACTCCGCCATGACCTACATCTGATTGACTCCGTAAGTGGCTCACCTTGAGATACGACGGATGTGTCCCGATTGCAGCCATAACCTGCACACAGAAAGTGAATGAGAGGGTAGTAATGGGAGGGGATAGAGAGAGAAGGAGAGGCAGGTTGATGGAGAGAGAAAAGTGTGGGATCACGCGGGGGGTACGGGGATTGCTACATGTGCATCTCTAACGTCCCACTCCTGTCCACTTTCCCCAAGTCTCATCCCCACGCTCACACTGTTTCCCATCCTAATGTCCCTCACTCACTCCTCGTTCCCTGGCGAAACCTCGTTCCCCAGCTCCGTAAAACGAGGACACACTCTGTCACGTCTCTAAGAAAGATCGTGGCCCGTTCGTACCGTGTCAAACTTCTCGCCGCGAACGTTGAACCGTACGATCCGCATGCCCTTCTTCACGACGACCCCGCCGTACGAGTCGCTGTCGTCGAACACGATCGCACTCGTCGCAATCAGCTGGTCGCCAGCGTCTACAAGCCCCGTCGCCTCCGCGTTTCCCCCGCGCGCGACTTCCGCCACGAAAATCCCCCCCGCGCGCTCCTCCAGGACCAGCCCCAGCGGGCGCGCGAGCTCGATTTTGATCCGCGAACACCCCGGCGGGGGGACGTCCACGGAGTCGTCTTCCGCGGAGGCGGTTTCCGCCGCGACCGCCGCTACTGGCCGCGCGGGCCTTTGAGGGAGGCGTTGATGCGGGGAAGCGGCGGAGAGGGGCTTGGAGGAAAGGGAGGGGCGCTGGGGAGCAAGAAAGGTAACTGGGGGTTGGGCGGGGGTTTCAAGGAAGAGGGGAGGGGGAGAAGTATGAGCGTTTGAAGAGGGAATGTATATTGCAAGCCGGAGGACGTGTTTTGCGAAGCAGTTTTCATGGAAGGCAATGTATTGCACGAAACAGTAGAGCGGTGACAAGAGGACTATGCGTCATAGCTTAATTTGCATCGTCGGTCATAGGTTGAGGCGTCTCAAATGACGTCATCCGACGCATGTGTCTACCACCGACAGCCAATGCCAGTTAATGGCGACAGCTACTTGACAGGATAACGGATGTGCGCTTGTGAATGCCTACTTCACTACACGTGTGTGCACGCGCGTTTGGTTCGCTCTTCGTTAAAAGATGAAACACAGACAGAGACGCGGAAGCCTTACCTGATTTGGCTTCAGATACGACGGTTGTAGAGATTCTACCCGCCTTGGATGCCATCCGTCCGAACGAAACGCCATTGGACGACAGTGCGGCGAGCGACATTGTGGGAGAGAGATCTGATGGATGACGGTTATAGATGCAGGTCAGGTCACTTCCCAATCTTAGAGGCTCAAGCACAAGAGCCGCAACACAGTGATCAGGATGCGAAACGAAACTAATGAGCACTTTTGTTGAGTTCCGGTTCCTTGCAGGAATATCTAAGCTGGACACTAAGCTTTCAGTGGTTTCCAAGAGGTCTTCTTCTCAATGTGGGATGTCATCACAACTACTAAAGCTGTATATGACTGGTTTGAGGTTCCAGATGGAAGGACAGGACTGCTTTCTTTGATCACGATCTGTACTCAAACTGCACGTTTAGGTAAGAGGGGTCTGATCTGGTACCAAAACAGATGTTGAATGAGCCCTCGTCCGTGCATCTGCGACGCGCCACGGAGTGCATTTTGGACCGACAGATGGCTGCCACGCTGTTCGCGCTGGTTGGTCACCGTTCTCGCGCTGTCCCAGCTAGAGGCGCGACACATGGCATTACGTAATTAACATCTGAAATCTCTTTGATTGGCTAGGATTAGTGTACTTCCAGTCTCAAGGGAACGCACCTCCACCTCAGCTCAATAAAAATACTGGTACACTCAACCATGAACTTGGTTGCTTGAATCAATTCATACCACTCTAAACGTAAGCTATAATGATCCCATACACTCCCACGTGTAATAGCAGGAAGGACACCTATCAAAGGCTTGTTTATCACCATATTTTGACATGCATAGAATGGAACAACACCAAAATGTCACTTCGTAAGCCCAGTAACCACTTGATCATTCCCTGATCCAAAAGCTGAGAGAAGGGCATCGCACACTAGTTCCATGCGCATTCCTCGGCTCCCCTTCACCAGCACCACATCTCCCAACTGTATCAACCCCATATCCACCGCTTCTTTAGGCGCTTCAAATAGAGACTCTGCAATGCATGCAGATAACGCTACAGCCTCTGCAAGGTCTTGTGCCGAATCAAACGCATGCACCTCCAAGCGCCTCTCCCCACCACCTTCCAGAAAACAGTGCAGACGGCCGCTTTTCCACTCCCCACTGTCTCCATCATCTTCATTACTGCAGCTCCCATCCTCACCCCCCTCCATTCCTTCCTCTGCGCCTCCCCTCACTCTCCTTTGCACCACTTTCCCCAGAGCGGACTTGAAGGCCGCGCCAGCCGCCAGGACGAGAGAGATTCCTGAGAGGGAGAGGCAGAGGGAGAGAGCGTCCACATGTGCACTCTCTGATTGGCTGCCCAGCTCCAGCATGTCGCCCAGCACCGCCACGTGGCGGCCTGAGACTGGTGGAGAGGAGGCGGCGGAGGAGGCAGAGGGGGCAGTTGATTCCAGCGAGAGCTGATGCAGAAGGTGAAGAGCCGACGCAACACTGATTGGACTGGCGTTATAAGCATCATTCAGTACAGTCACACCGATTCCCTCGTGTCCCTCTCCCTTCCCTTCGCTCCTCTCGCCCTCCTCTCCCGCCGCTCCTCTCCTCCGAATCCGCTCGACCCGCATCCTCATCCCGACGGGCTCGTACAGCGTCATGTGTCGTGCTGCCATTGGCAGAGGCACGCCTGCCACCACGGCCACGGCTGCGGCTGCAAGGGCGTTGTCAGCCAGATGCAACCCGGGGCTGTTGATTCGCACACACACCGTTCTGTCGTCTGCATTGCTCTCCTTCCCATGCACATCCCTCGTGTCCTCAATGTCTCCATCGGAATTCAAACGCACCGCCCCGGCTCCGGCACTCAGTGCACTGCTGCTTGGATCCGTGCTCTCCTCCTTGCTGCTCTGCCATTCCACCCCTCGTCCCCCTCCGAGTCCTCCTGGTGCTGCTGCTTCTGCTGCTGCTGCTGCTTCTGCTGCTGCTCCTCCTGTGCGTGCCAGGTTGGTGCGAATGCAAGCTTCAACCGCCATGCCGCCATCCACTGCGCGCGCCCACAGCAGCTGCACGTCGCAGCCGGGTGAGCGGCCAAATGTGATCTGGGAGGACACGCGGGTGGGTGGAAGGGGGTGGGAGGGAGGAATTAGGCGTGGCAGTAGTGCGGCTGCTCCTCGTCCTCCTCCTGTGCGTGCCAGGTTGCAATGCTTCAATCGACATGCCACCATCCACAGCCCACGCCCACAGCACCTGCACATCACTGGTGGGAAGACTTTTGAGTCGACTAGGTGACTTTTGAGTCGACTAGGTGACTTATGAGTCGACTCAAAAGTCACCTCGTTACAATTTCACAATTCAACTGACATGCCACCATCCACAGCCCACGCCCACAGCAGCTGCACATCACTGGTGGGGAGCGCCCAAAGGTGATGTGTAAAGACACGCGGGTGCAAGGGGTTGGGAGGAGGATAGGATCAGGATTCAGAGAGTTCAGTTTCAGTTGGGGAATTCTATTGAGGCGCCTGTTGAGGCGACTCTTGAGGCGACTTTTGAGGCGCCTTTTGAGGCGCCTCAAGAGTAGGCTTCAGAGAGTTCAGTTTCAATTGGTATTTGTACAGATTGGTTTCGAGAACGTGAGAGGCCTTTCTCAAACAAACGCACCCAGCCCTCTCCGGCCTTCTCGCCTTGCGTTGCCGGCCAGCACACTTGAAACCACATTCGTACGAACGCACTCACCAGTCTCACTCCTGTCACATCCAGAAACCCCATAACTCGACTGACGTCCCAATTCACCGCGCACACGTCTCCCTCCCTCGTTCCCCCTTGGCCTCTGCTATTGCCTCCAAAGGCCCCAACAAGGGGTCTCTGATGTGTGCGGGGAGGGGTGAGTAGGTGGGGAGGGGGGACGACTCACCCGTCTCACTCCTGTCACAACCGGCAGCCCCATGACAAGCCTGTCGTCCCCATTCACCACACATACGTCTCCCTCCCTCGCATCAACCAGGATCTCCCCCTTCGCCTCTGCTATTGCCTCCAGCGACCCCAACGAGGGGTCTCCAATGTGTGCGGGGGATGAGAAGACTCACCCGTGTGACTCCTGACCTGATCGGCAGTCAGCCCCATGACAAGGCTGCCGTCCCATGCATAACGGAGACCCCACACTGGGTGGGGCCTGTTCACCACGCATATATCCCACGACCAGCATCTCCCCCTTGGCCTCTGCTATTGCCTCCAGGGACTCCAGCGAGGGGTCTCCGATGCGAGCAGGGAGGGTGAGAGCACGTAAGGAGCCAGACCTAAACAAGCGCTCTTACCCGTCTCACTCCTTTTTGAGTCGGCAGCCCCATGACAAGGCTGTCGTCCCCATTCACCACGCACACGTCGCCTGGCCTTGCATCCGCTAGCATCTCCCCCTTGGCCTCTGCTATTGCTTGCAAAGACCCCAGCGAGGGGTCGCCGATGTGCGCGGGGCCGACGTTGAGGAGGACGCGGATGGAGGGAGCGGCGATGGCGGAGAGGAGGGCGATCTCCCCTCGCGCACTCATTCCCATCTCCACCACACACGCCGCTGATGCCTGGGGGAGGGCTGATAGCGGGTTCAAAGGGGTTGTGCAGTGCAGGATAGGGTAGGGGAGAAGAGGGGGAGGACAGCATATTTAACCAGGCATCAAAACCAACAATTTAACAAGAAACAGGCGAACAAAAACAATACATGCCTCGAACATGCTGACATGAGCGTCACCCACCCCGCCATCATTTGCACGTACCCAAGAGAGTGAGCGGCACTCCAATGTGGTTGTTCAGATTGCCCTGGGTCTGCACACAGCAGGTGTGGGGCCACGGGGACACACATGTGTGGAATGGGGGATGCCATGGGAAGACATGGAAACGATGCAATGTAAGAGATGATGGGAGTCATAGAAAGAAAGGGCTTCTGAGCCCACTGCACTCAATTCTGAGCCCACTGCACTCAATTCTGAGCCCACTGCACTCAATTCTGAGCCCACTGCACTCAATTCTGAGCCCACTGCACTCAATTCTGAGCCCACTGCACTCAATTCTGAGAGTTCTCAAAAGGGACACCACCCAGAAGACCCTTTTGAGAGGCCCCACCATTATCCACCCCATTTCCCCCTCCCTCCAATGCACCGGGTGCACAGCCCCCAGAGGCGACAGCACCAAGCCACCTGGTGCCCCCCCACCCCATTCCACCCCATTCCACCCCATTCCACCCCATTCCACCCCATTCCACCATGCAGCACCCACCTGGTGCACAGCCCCCAGGGGCGAGAGCGCGAGGGCAGTTAAGGCCCGCGCCGTAGTCTTCCCCACGCTGCCTGTCACCCCCACCACCACACCGCCGAACCTCCGCCGAGCCTCCCTCGCCAAGCCTTGCAGCGCGCCGAGCGTGTCTGGCACCACCACCAACCCGCCCTGCCATCCCTCTGGCAGCAGGTTCGGAGGCACGTTTGAATCCCCTGCTCCGTTTTCACCTCTTAACCCCTCTTCACCCATCGCCACACCTTTCTCCCTTGCATCCTTCCCTCTTAACCCCTCTTCCGCGCATCCCCCCTCTTCCCCATTCCCGCTCTCCCTTCCGCCGCCCCCCTCCGGCGCATTCCCCCCATTCCCCGCTTCCCCCTTTTCCCCCCATCCGTCCACCATAACAACCGCCCCCCCGCACCCCCTCCGCGCCGCCTCTTCCAGGAAATCCGCACCGTCGAATCGCGGCCCTCTTAGAGCCAGGAACCAATCGCTGGGCGCCAGTTGGCGCGTGTCAGTGCAGACGCGCCCCGGCGGGCAGTCCCTGATGACCGTGCCCCCTGCCACGTCAGCGATTTCCTGCGCGCTCCACACGGAGCCAGTCCACTCGCTCGAGCCGCCCCCCCCGCCGCCGCCGCCACTGCCTGCGGCCGCCGCCCCACCACTGGAACCATCAACCCGCGGTCTCGCCGCGTTTGCGCCCTCCCCGCCACTCCTGGTGGAAGCTTCCGCGCGGGGTGTTTGCATAGCGGCGCGGGTGAAACGCAATTCGCGCGCGCGGGCGCGGCCGTGGGGAAGGCTAGGCGCGGGGCAAGCTGGTTCGGGAGGAAACGGCGCGGCGAGCGCGGGTGGACGCGCCGACGGCGGAGGAAGGCGGATGAAACAGCGCGCTACGACGCCTGAGTTTCTGTCGCACGGATGTCGGCTACTGTCGCACGATCTTCTACCGTCGCACAACGATCGCCTGCAAATGGCGAGGTCAGCGACAGCGGCGGCGGAGCAAGCGCCCGCCGGCATGAGGGGAATCGGAAACGAGACGGGAGAAGACAAAAGAGAATAGGAAACCTAAGCGGGAATTGTGGAAGGCAAAAGAGATTCCTGCGGGACAGGAGAAGACTAGGCGACGCGGTACAATGGACGCATTGCCTGGGAATTCGTGCGCTTGCCGAATGGGGGGAGTTCTTGATGAGGGTGTGTGATCCTAATTTACCGTGCCGAACCGGACCCAACCGAGGTTCCCAGTCGCTTACAGAGTCCCTTCGGGAATACCCGTTTCGTTACTCGGGGTGGCGGTTTCGGGAGCAGCAGAAAAATCAAGAGACGGAACACCACCAGCGCCCGCCTAATAAATGCATGGGAGCACAACCAGAATGGGGAAGAAAAATAACCTAGCACAAAACAAAATCTCCATACCTACTGCATCGGTGCCTGACCGTACATGTACTGTTGAGACGACATGCCCCCCGCATTGTACACTCCCCCATTTTGCCCCGAAAAATCACCCCCTTGCACACCCCCTTCCCCTGGCCCCATCTGTCCTTGCCCCTGATAACCCCCATTTCCCTGCCCTAGAACATTATACGCAGGGGGGGGAGCGCCAGTGGCAGCATTGGGAGAATAAGCAGTGTAGGGAGGGGGAGGGGGAGCAAGAGAATACTGAGGCATAGCAGCAGAGGTCTGTTGGGGAGGAGGGGATTGAGAGGGGAGAGGGGGAGGAGGGGGCAAGGGGGGGAACGGCATGCCATCCATGTTCAGTGGGGGTGGGGGCGGGGGGAACATTGCGTGGTTCGGGGAAGCGAAGGTAGCGGCGGTGGAGGGAGGGGCTGCAAACGAGTGTGATAGAGGCTTTGTGCTTGTATCGGTGGGTCGCAGCCGCTTCTCAGGTGGCTGAGAAGGGTCGTTTGTAGCATCTGCCCCAGAAACTGGTGCTCCTGGAATCTGTAACCCCCCAGCACCGCCACCACCACCATCCGCCCCACCACCTGCACCAGCAGCGTCAGCCGGAGCAGCAGCGGCGGCGGCGGCTCCTGCTGCCACTGATTTCCCAGCTGCAAACGACGAAAGAACAGATTTCAAAATCGCGGCAGATGATGCCGAAGCTACCAGCTGGCTCGTCAGCTCCGCCGCCCGCTTCCGCCGAGCCTCCCGCTCAGCGTCGGTAACCCCACCAGCTCCGGCACCCGCGCCTGCCGATGCAGCAAGACCAACCGGCAAACCAGGATTGCCGGCAGCCGCAGCAGAAGCAGCGGCGGCAGCAGCGGCAGCGGCAGCAGCAGCAGGGGTAGAGGCTTGAGAGCTGTTCACTGCAGCAGCGGCGGCGGCAGCGGCTGCAGCAGCAGCAGCAACCATCTCAGGAGGCGTGCCTGGTGGAGGTTGGAACCCGGGAAGAACGAAGGCGGGGGCAGCAGCAGCAGGAGCAGCAGTAGCGGCAGGGGCAGCTGCTGCAGGAGTGCCCTGAGGGGCTGCAAAGAATGCAGCGGCGGATGGTGTTGGTGCAGCAGCAGTGGTGGCAGGGGCAGCAGCCGCAGCAGCGGAGGGGTTGGCTGCGGCAGTGAGGCCAGCAGAGGCACGGGCAGCATCCTCCTCCGTGGCTCGCTTGCGCAGGTTGGCTGCTATCTCCGACTGCGTGCGCGCAATCTGCATGTGGGGGGCAAGACAAGGGGGGGCAGGGACAAGGGGGGGCAGGGACAAGGAGCGGCACGGAGGAGTTGGGGCACAGACAAGGAGGGTTGCAAAGAGTGGAATGAGCAGCGTCCTCCTCCGTGGCTCGCTTGCACAGGTTCGCTGCTATCTCCGATTGCGTGCGTGCGATCTGGGATGAGAAGGGTGGGACGAGTGGGGTGGAGGATGCACAGGCGCGGACGAATCGGAATAGCAACCCGTTGCTCTCTCGATCTGCGACAAATTAAAGCGCATGGATAAAAGTGCCTCTGAGAAGGCACTGAGCATGGGGACAAGAGGGCAAGGCGGGCAGTGACTTCATCCATAAGATATGGAGGGGTGCAAGTTGCAATGATGGGTCAGTGACAGTGATGCAGAGAGTAGGTCCGGGGGCAACAAAGGTTGGATGGATGGATGAGTGACCGTTTTCATTCGGGCTTTGGTACGTGTCTAACTGCCACTTCCGCTGCTTGCTGCTGCTGTGGCTCCATGAATGGCAGCCTTACACCTCCTCTACATCCTCGCCTGGCAAATGAAAAAAGCGTACTTTTGAGACGTGTCAGAGAAAGGGCTCTACGTCCTCACAGGAAAATGAGCTGACTCTTTAGTCGACTCAAAGATGTGTCAGAGAAAGGGCTCTACGTCCTCACAGGAAAATGAGCTGACTCTTGAGTCGACTCAAAGATGTGTCAGAGAAATGTGAGAAAAGGAGTTAGAAATGAAGTTTTATGATTTGATAGAGAAACAAGGGGGGTATACATAGTAATGGGGTTGGATGCTAGCCTAAGGTGCCATTATTGGACCCCAACCAAGAGGTTGGGTTGGGAGATTATTGGTGGGGTCCAATAATGTTGGCCAAGGCCAACATTATTGGAGGGGGCCAATAATTCTACCCAACCCAACCTTTTGGGGTCCAATAATTGGACCAAGGTTGGGTTCCAACCTACAAACTGGGTTACCCCTGTTTGTACACCCAAACTAAGTTTGGGTGCTTAACTCTAGCCTAACCTATAGCATATATGCAGGTTACAAGAGAAGAGGGATTCTAACACAACCCCTTAACCGGCAGAGATGCGGAAAGGCGTGAGGGAAGCAACCCCTGAATCAAGGCGCCCCTGGGGGAGCGAGGCCGATGAGGCGGAGAAGAGCAGGGTGCGCAGGGCGAAGAAGTGCTTTGGTAAAGATATCAGCCAAGTTGGCTTCAGCAGCGATCTTGCGAACGGCAAGGAGGTTCTGGTGGACAAGTTCGCGGATTAAGAAATAGCGGAGCTCAATGTGCTTGGAGCGTCCATGAAAGACGGGATGATGGATGGTGCTAGCGTTGTCACACCAGAGCGTGGGACAGCGCTGGGGTGCTCCAAGCTCTGCCAAAAGAAAGCAGAGCCAGCGGGACTCTTGCGCGGCCATGGTGCCAGCATAGAGCTCAGCTTCGCAGGAGGAGAGGGCAATGGCAGAGGAGCGAGTAGAACGCCAGCTGATAAGCCCGCTACCGAGTGTGAAGCCATAGCCTTGCGAGGAGCGGCGGTCTGGCTGGGAGTCTGCCCAAGAGGAGTCGCTGAAGCCAGAGAGAAGGGGAGGGGAGGATCCACCCAGGGTGAGGGCGTGATCCTTGGTGCCACGGAGATAGCGGAGGACCCGCTTGGCGGCAGCCCAGTGTTCTTCAGTGTGGCGGCCGGAGCCGACGAACCGAGCAAGGACGCTGATGGGGTAGGCGAGGTCGGGACGAGTGCACATCATCGCGTACATCAGCGACCCAACAAGCTCGGCATAGGGCCGGGAGGAGGGGGAGGGGGAGGTGGGTGGCGCGAGTTGGTGACCGAAGGGGAGGGGGGTGGAGACCGGTTTGGCCTGCGCCATCTCGAACTTCTCCAGGACCTGGCCGATTTAGTGGGACTGGGAGAGGGTGATGGTGCGGGCGGGTCGATCACGAGTGATAGCCATGCCGAGGTAGTTCTGCAGCGGACCAAGGTCCTTGCACTTGAGACGTTCCTGAAGTGACCGCTTGACTTGCTCCATGTCGGCCTTGGTGTCAGCGAGCAGGATCATGTCGTCAACGTAGACCGAGATGAAGAAGCGACGGGGGGAAGAGCGGATGAAGAGGCTGGCATCGGAGTGGGAGGCGGAGAAACCAAGGGACTGGAGAGTGGCAGACAGCTTTGCATGCCATTCTCGTGGTGCCTGCTTCAGGCCATAAACAGGTCGCCGAAGTTGCCAGACGGTGTTGTCAGGGAAAGCAGCATGAAACCCGGGAGGCCGACGGAGGTAGATGCGCTCGTGCAGTTCGCCTTGCAGGAACGCGTTGGAGACGTCCATGGAGTCAATCTCCATGTCGTCACGCGCACCAATATCCATGAGGGTGCGTAGGGTGGCCTGCTTGACAGTGGGGGCAAATGTGAACCAGTAGTCTTCAGCCCAGGTCTGGGTGAACCCCTTGGCAACGTAGCGGGCTTTGTAGACTGGTTCTTCTCCCGGCAGCTGCTTGACTCGAAAGATCCACTTGCCCTCGACAAGGTTGGCGTCAGGGGGGAGGGGAACGTCGATGAAGGAGTCGTTGCGGATAAATGCCTCACATTCCAGGAAGATGGCGGCTATCCACTTGTCAGCGTCAGGGCAGGTGATAGCCTCCTGGAAGGTGGAGGGGACGAAGATGGTGGGAGCGGAGATCGCGCTAAGGATTAGAGCGCCGAGGAGGCCAGGGTAGAGAGTGGTGAGAGAGGGAGTGTGGCGCTAGACCATGGTGAACTCCTCATGGGAATCCTCGAGCTGGTTGAGGGAGGGAGGTGGCGGTGTGCCAAGGATGGGATCGAGGGAGCGGGTGTGCATGCGAGGGAGGAGGAAGGGTGAGGAGCGGGCAATTGCCCTCTGTCGCTGCTGCTGCTGGTGCTGCTGGAACCCCTGCTGCTGCTGCGGCTGCTGCTCCTCCCGATGCTGCTGCCCCTGCTGCTGCTGCTGCCCCTGCTGCTGCTGCGGCTGCTGCTGCTGCGGCGGCTGCTGCCCCTGCTGCTGCTGCTGCTGCTGCCCATGCTGCTGCTGCTGCTGCTGCTTCTGCTGCGGCTGCTGCCCCTGCTGCTGCTGCTGCTGCCCAAGCTGCTGGGACGGAGGAGAAGGAGAGGGGGGAGGAGAGGAGGGAGGGGGGGCTGCAGAGTGTGCAGGGGATGCAGGAGCAGTGGGATCGTAGATGTCGGCAGATGAGGGTGGCGGAAGCGGAGTAGGGAGAGGTGGGAGAAGGGGTGCAGGAGGGAGGAGGGGAGGGAGCACAGTGTCGGTCCAGGTGAGAGGACGTGAAGGAGGAGGGAGGGGGTCTGGTGGTGAAGAGGAGTAATAGGGGGTGGTTTCGTCAAAGACGACGTCAATGCTGCGGATAAGGCGTCCAGAGGGAGGGTGAAGGAAGAGGTAGCCAGGCGAGTCGCGGTTGTGCCCGAGGTAGACACACTCGAGGGCGCGAGAAGCGAGCTTGCCATGGGTGCGATCGGGTGGAGGGATAAGGACATATGCCTTGCAACCCCAGACACGGAGACCAGCGGCGTCAGGTTTGGTGCCCGACCAAAGCTCTGTGGGGGTGGTGGTGGTATGTTGAGGATGGGAGTGAAGGTTGAGGAGGAGGGCAGCATGGAGCAAAGCATAGCCCCAGAGGGAAGGGGGGGTTGAGGCGTGAGCGAGGAGACAGCGGGCGATCTTGGTGATTTCGCGAATCCGGCTTTCTGCGACGCCATTCTGCTGCGGGGAGTGGGGGAGGGTGTGAGTCTGTTGGATGCCATGGGTGGTGCAGTAATGGGAGAGAGTGCGATTGAGGAATTCGCCTCCCCCATCAGAGTGTAGGCGGCCGATGGGACGCTTGAAGTGGGCGCGGCATTGCTCGGCCCAGTTAATGATCATGGTCGGCGCCTGGTCTTTCGTGTGGAGGAGGAAAATGGAGGAGTAGCGGCTGTGGTCGTCTACGAGGACCAGCATGTAGCGATGGCCCTGACGGGAACGAGTGGGGGAGGGTCCCCAGAGGTCCATATGGACTAGGTCAATTGGAGCGGGAGCAAAGGATGGGTGGCTGTGGTGGGGGGACTGTTTGAGTTTGCCGTGGATGCAGGAGGGGCAGGGAGGGGCTGGAGAGGAAGGGAGGGGGGGGAGAGTGGGAGGGAGGCTGTGAAGGAGGCGAGAGGTGATGGCAGTGCGGAGAGCGGCGAAATTGGGGTGGCCGAGACGGTGGTGGAGCAGCACAGCGGGGTGGGAGAGATGATCGGAGGTGGAGGGGGTTGGAGTGAGTGAGGGAGGGGGAGGTGACTGCTGCTGCGGCGGCCCCTGCTGTGGCGGCTGCTGCTGCTGCTGCTGCGGCCCCTGCTGCTGCCTCTGCGGCGGCGGCTGCTGCTGCTGCTGCTGCGGCCCCTGCTGCGGCGGCTGCTGCTGCTGCTGCTGCTGCGGCCCCTGCTGCTGTCTCTGCGGCGGCGGCTGCTGCTGCGGCCCCTGTTGGTGGCGTGGAGGTGAGGTAGGGGGAGGGGGAGGGTTAGTGGAAGTGCCAGCACGAGTGGTGACATGGCAGAAGGATGGCCACGGGGTGCGGAGAGTGTAGAGGCGAGTGCGGGGGCAGAGGGGAATGCGTAGAAGGAAGCGACCAGTGGCGGTGTGGTAGAGGTCACAGTAGGTGGCATTACCTGGATAGACGGCAGTGATACCTGCATTTTGGATTTCACGGTGGGAGAGGAGGTTGTTTCGGAGGGTGGGGATGTGGAGACCAGTTACCTTACCAGAGGGGAAGAGTGTGCAGGGGAGAGTGGAGAGGTGTGTGCATGGGATGGTAAAGCTGCTGTCAGCGCCGTGAACTTGAGTGGGAGGAGAGAGGGGTGTGAGTGTACCAGCATCCTTGAGAGCGGTCTCAGTGGCCCCACTATCGAGGACAAAGTCCAGAGTGGGTGAGGAGGAGGAAGAGACGGAGTACTGGAAAGCAGTTTCATTAATGGTGGATGGGTACATGGAAGGAAGGGAGG